ATGTTCGTTATACCAAAATGTAGTCAAAGAAACTTTCTGTCAGATGAGGATTTTCTTTTTATGTTTTAATATTTTAAATAAAAAATAAATGACGACGCAAATAATGTCTTCATATTTCAAAAATGAGAAAATATTTTCAGCACGTTCTGACTTCTAATAAGCAAATAAATTAAGGTGACAAACGAATGCGTATAATCATTGACATGTCAGTTGCATGTTCCAAGAAAATGACAGATCGAATCTATACCTTTTATCATGCATATTTCACTATATTTAATAGTTCCAGTTGAAGCTCAAAACTCTTTTTTTTACAGGTACAAAAAAATAGCTAACTAATTCAAATATTAAAGACGAGAGAACAACAAACAAACAAAAACAAGGAACAAATATTATCTGACGCCACATATGAAGAAAAGGAAAAAAATAAGGCAGAGTAAAGCCAAAATTAGACAAAAAAACCCCAAAAAATCTCTGAATATATATTTATCAAACAATTAAAAAGATAAATAATAACAACAAATTAATGATTGTTTACCAAAACAAAGTTATTCACGTTTCGTTTTTCTTTTCAGGTGGTGACGGAATCTTCACTTCTGAAATACAAAAGACAAGCGTAAAATGAGCAGTACATAGTTAATTAAGTACAGATAAGGACCAAATAACATGTTATCTCATCCGTCACTCTCTTCAATTATTCTAATTACATACCAAGATCAACGTCATAATCAAATAAGGCCACTTGATCGAATTCTTCCCGTTTATATTTTTCTCTAACACTGCTATGATGTGCAGAACGATTAACATTTTTTAATAAATCAATAATTGTCAAAAACTTTGATTCTAATTCATCTTGTTTATAGGGTACACGTGCAAAAAATTTTCGCACAACACGTTTATTATTGGGTAGAAATTTTGTAAATTTCAATGCCATATACAAGGAAATAGCTGCGATAAACGAGGATGGCCACGATGACAGGTCATAATTACATAAAATAACTTCTGTTATATATTTTGACATTGAATAAATAACAAACGAAAATGGAAGAAAACGTAAATAATAACATAAATAATGAACGGGAAGTGGATATTCTAAGAAATACAAAATATTTAATACAAATTAGCTGACAGTACCGGACAAAAGTAAGATGACAATGTCTACAAATGTTAAATGCACTGAACTATCACTTATAACTGTTTATTCTGTTTTCTTTTTCTAAAATGATATCACTTATTCTAACAAAAAGACAAATGTTTACCTAGTTCAAAATCGAGTTTTCTTAACAGTTCTTTTTCAGCCATATGAATTTGATGTGCATTCATCGCATATTTACTATCGAATAATACGATTAATGTTCTTAATGGTGGTACACGACGCGATTCTAATTTACATGCAATGGTGAAACAACAAATAGCAGTCAATTGTAAATCTAATTTTGTCATGGCATCATTTATTAATAAAACTCGATCAATTAAATGAATTGTACGATGTAATATACCTAAGCAATAAACGAATAATAAGAAAAAATCTTGTTATTCAATTTGTTGAAATTCACTACAACCGTAGCATAAGAAGACTGAACAAACTGACGGATTATCCGATTAACAGATTAATGGATATATACTATTCTTCTCCGATTCCTTGTACTAATTCTTACTACTCACTTTTAAAGTAGATATTAAAGATACAAAATAATTGACTTTTGAAAAAATATTTAATGTTCATTTCTTACTCGCATTTAACCGATGATAATCGTGTACAGAAATGATCCAATCAATTAATTTACATCGTACTTTTGGTGTTACAACCATTAGTTTTGTTACTGGATAAGTAATATGTATTGCTGTTTGTCGTTGTTGCTTTTCATCTTTTAATCTCTTCACTTCAAGTGAAAAACGTTGTTCTAATTCTAATAAATATGAAATTATTTCTAGTTCATACGAGCTCGGTGATAATGGATCAAAAAATGGATGAGAAAATCCTTCTTCTTGCCACACACCTAAAAAATAGTTAAAAATGAAAAGTACATTTCTTTACAGCATTAAACAGAACTTCGTTCTCTTTCTGATGATAATCTAATTTAATACTATAAGGCTAGTCCTGAATATTGATTCTCTCAAAAGTAAACAAAACATCACATACCAACATCACTTTCTACTTCATCCACATCATCGACGGTTTGATCTTTCTCTTTCATTAGATCATTATTAATCGCCTTCTGATTAACATCTGTGGAGTTTGGTTGTGGTAAACTTGTACACGACATTTCTGGCGTAAAATATGTTACTATTGACACATTTTCATTTGACGATTCATCGACTTGTGCGACAGCAGTCGACATTGATGATGAAATATGAACACCTTCTAAACGTTGATACAAACTGTCGATATCTTCCTTGATGATTGACATTTTCAGTGTTTCAACTGGTGGCTCTGATTCTGATTTGTGAATAGAAGATGGTAGAAGATTTTCATTATTATTCGATAATTTTTTATTTGATTGTCTTGAAAAACGATTTTGATTTTCGTTTTCATTGTTTATATTTGTATTAAATGATGATAGACGAGAGATCATTGCACGACGATTCGAAGTAATTAAATTATTAAGATTATTCGAGGTTGCTGTTCGAATATTTTGTAATGATTCAAAATAATTACGCCGATGAGATCGACCATCAGTTTGGAGTCTTGAATCTTTCGTGGAGTTTAAAGAAGATGAACGAGACAACATTGCGGCTTTTAACTATTGTAGTATGAAAATAATGATTACAACAAATTTAGTATATATGCGTATTAAGGCGAGTTTTCTTTCTTTCTTTGAACTGTTATGTAGAGAAAAAATTCTAAGAAAGACAATGACATGATATCACTATCAATAGTTTACCTCTATTTTTTCTTATTGGTTGTTGACTAGTTTTGCAAAACGAAAGTAAAGAAAAGGCGATGTTCAAAAAGAAATACTTTTTACTTTAATTGAAAGGCAATTCTAGGTTTATAATTATTCTTCTAACAACATTCTTTACCCAAAACTCGATTCATAGCGACAGATAGCGCCGTCTTTGCCAACTGGATAATATCCCATGTCGAAGCTCTACGGCCGTAAACTATAGTATACGTCGAAATTCATATCCATTCCAGATAGAATACGACGTCGTAATTCTTCTCCACGATAGACGTCATCGTATTTCGTTGTAAACCGCTCGTATTTTAACGTATACTACAGTATCCATCATCATAAACTGTAGTATACGGCTGAATCTAGATAAATAACCCAAAAAATTGGGTCATTTTTGCTTGGGTATTTCTTAATCGTTTCGAAATCTTTTCAATCTCTCTTTTCATTATTGGAGGAAAGGATTGTTGCTTATACTGTTGATGTTTCAGTTTATGGTTATTGGCCAATCTCTTGACGAAATCGTGAAAACCGATAGTGTTAGGTCTGTTATGGTAGACCTCTTTTTCAAAATAATTAGCGAAAATTTCTACTTTTCGATGATCTGTTGTTCCTATTTGGTTTTGATAGTGGATGACACCAAATTGTTGTTTTACTCTTTTATTGTAATATCTTTTCACCGCTGACCATACCCGAGTACCCATCATCTTATTTTTTGTTAGAGATACCATTAGTTTTTTGAATGAGTTAGTTTTATCATTTCTGATTGAATTTGCAGCTAGTTCCCGATAACGGTAATAGTGTTGTTTTCTATCTTCTGGAGTAATGATGTTTCTGTTTTAATAAATCTAGAGTTACTTTGCTTGGTTTATAGGATCGTAGACTGTTGTTTGTTTTAGGTATTGCTATCGAGCATACATCATTGATAGCATTAGTGATAGATTTTGAATAGGATTCTATTTCTTGGAAGCTGTTTACATCCTTCGGTGGATGCGTCTCTAGCCTAGAATTACTTCCAGTCTAAACTTAGACCAGTTGGCTGCATGGAAATTATATTGTTGACGTGGTGTTAATGGTTTGATTTCTACTATGGCGTTTAAAGTGATTGGCCTATGTCTGCCTTTCAACCCAAAGGGAGTGTGAGTTTCAAAGTGGATAATTTGGAGAAAGATGAATGTATGGCAAGTACCCAGTTGGTCTTTTCGTCATAATCATTCATCTCATACGTTGCCATGTTGCTGTCAATTGCAAATAATTTCACTTCTCGAAGAATTTTATTGAGGATCTAGTTCGGTTTGTTTTTCGGGATCCTAGCCTTGCTAAGGCCGCATTTATACCACCCATTATTAAACATGCAGTGATAATAATTCTTCTTTATATTATTGGGCTGAATTAATATTGATATATACATATTTCATATTATTGGTATATTAATGCGTTATTTGTCGTTCGTTGTTGGCTCATCTGTTCCACTGTTGTTGTTTCATATGTTATAACAGAATGATCTAATCGTCTTTGTCAACTGTCTTGGATTTTGTTGAACTTAAAAGTATGAAAATGACTGTAGTTGTTCTTGATGTAGTTGCTGTGGTGAATCAGGAATATTTTCTTGATTTTTCTTGATTAGATTTTTTGATGAAGTACTTATGGATCTCTGTCGTGCACGTGTCGTTGTCGTGATTGTTGGTATGTTATTCAGCGCCATCAATGGTGAGGAATTTGTTGATAATGATGTGGCTGATAAATCTGGTGTTTGTGAGGACATTTTGTTGTGCAAATACTCCAATCAAAGTTGTTGTCGATTGTTGTATTGCATTAGTCATCGCCGATACTATGGTTATAGCCATTTTCTCCATCATTGTTTCCATCATCTCTAAATGTTCGTCAGCTTGATGATACTGATGTGCACTGTGATAGATTTTTGTCAATGATGGAAAATTTGTTGTTGTCATTGGTGATGGTACTTTGATTTCACTAGTATAATCACCAATTATTTTTCGAATTTTTTGTTGTTGTTCGATGTATTTCGGACACGATGCCGAATTTGCTTCATGTTGGTTTGAGCAGTTTAAACATTTAGCTTCATTTGCAGTTCTATTATTTGTTGTATGATTTCCGCCACATTTACGACAAATATCCTGTGTTTCTCTGCAATATTTTCTTGGATGTCCAAATTTGAAACATTGCTAACATTGAACTGGTGTGTCACTTGGTTTTGCTGCTTCTGCGCTTAATGAACAGTAGCCAACTTTGAGCCCAGTTTTAATTAATGTATCACGATTGTTTTTATGTGTCAATGTAATTTTCACGGTTTTTGCAGGTTTATTTTGTTCTTTTAGTCTTTCTATTGATTGAAAATTGAGTCCGCTATCATGCAGTGCTTGTTTGATATCATCATCTTCTAGATCATGATCGACATGTTTAATAAAGGCTATTTTTTTATTGTCTAATACGTGTTTGATTTGAGATGGTACAGAGACTTTGATACTATCCTTTTCTGGGAGAGAGTCTTTCAGAAATGCTTTTAAAAGATTGTTGTATGTAGTTACATCACTTGGCTGAATTGTAAAAATGTTCTGTTTTCTGTTATGTATTATGTTGTCAATCTTGGATGTCGGAAGTTTCTCTTTTATTATGTTGCCTAATTTGACTCCAGGGATATTTTGTATACCTCTAACTATTACAGGTGCAACTTTGAAAACTTTCATGTGTTTTGTTATTAGTACTTTTGTTTGATGATTTTGTTCGCTACTGGTAGTATTCGAGAGATTTCTTTTTAAAGATCTTTGTGGATCGGGTGGATTCTGATCCATCCTCGTTTCGCTCGCCACCTTACTCCTTTTGTCGACTTTCTATTGTAGACGTATTTGCTACTTTAGAGAAGGAGTTAGTGTTTCTGTATTTAGATTTCTTATTTAATTAATTCGATGTTATTTCAACTTCGACTTATTACAACTAAACATCGCTAAGTAACAGAGACTTAGGAGAGGCCTCATTTCAAAGAGGAGATTCTGCTCTAGAATCCTAAATATTAGAAAAAATGTTAATACGAAGGAATCATCCCATGGGGACACTTAAACTTAAGTGCAAGCATATCTTTGACCGTATTTTGTCCATCTGAAAAAGATGCATTATTTAATGATTTACCACTCCATATACGAAAAGATCTAGTCAAGTCTTTTAGCTACAAAGCGGTGAAAACCTGAGCCTCTATCGCCTATCGTCTTTGATTTATTCAAAAACCAACCGAGTGCCTTGAGTTTTGGCGCCAATAGTAGCTTGTTTTTCTTCCAGGCGTATTTTATCATATGCTAGTTGGTTCATAGTATCGATTATTATATTAATAACTGGTTATATAATGATATAAATCAACGGCCGCAGTTTAATCACTTGGTTCTATAATGCAAAAGAATACCTTTTAATTTCAAAATTTATATGACATAGTGACTGGCTCGTTTTTGTTTGTGACTCTATCTCATGAATTTGGTTGTCATTTTGCGATTTTT